CACGCTTTTCTCCATCCAAGCGCGCTTTCAATGTCTGCTCTTTCTGGTTTTTGTCTTTTCACCAACACGGACCGGCCAAAACCACACTTACCCGCAAGTTTTGACGGCAAAACAAAAGAAAAGCAATTTGGACTGGTACACAAATCCTCAGAAGAAACTAATTTCTTCTTATTTTTTTCTTTATTAAATTTTGTGTAAGGACACGATTGAAATTACAAAACTTAAACATACAATCATGAAAAATTGAGAGTCTGAAAGCGTGCAGAGAATTTTATTGTGTTTTTTTCAAAATTCACTCTGTCTTTCACAATGGTCTTTCTCCTTATTTATTATTAGATTATGACTAGTGTTAATACACGGGTAAACATATTATAAATTATTAATATCAAAACTTTTGTTTTTATTAATAATCCGTTAAATTACAAAAATATTTTAAAATATTTAAACATGGGTTTTAAACAATTAAAATTTAAATGATCTTAATTCACATATCATAATTCATATTATGCAAACCCAAAAATATATATAAACATAAATGAAATTCAAATCATATTCTCAATAAAAAAAAAAATTCTTAGTTTCTTACACATTATAATTTTATACTAACTATATGATAAAATCTTATAAAAATTAAAATATTATTAAGTGAAATCATAAAACAATAAATTTATGTGTATAATCTCGTAAAACTTTACAAATATTTTATAAATATTTTTATCAATTAAGCATTATATATAAATTTATGATTGATAAATGTCATTGATGTCATCGATTTATTTTTAAAGAGATCTTTACTCGTCATTCGTCAAATCTTACACATTTTGGATTGTAACAATAAATATTTTATTATTATTTTATAACATTTATAAATTTTCATTTTATATAATTTCCCTTTTTAACATTCAAAAGTATAGATATAAGATTTATATTTTCTTTGTAATATTCTATAAATATTTTTACAAAATAAATATGTTTGTACATTTATTTTTCTTTGGTATGTTTGTGCATATAAACTTTAACATTGAAATTTCCATATTCTTTCTATTTTTTTGTTTTTCTATTTATAAAATTTCTTTTGTTTCATCATTCATATTTTTTTTTAATTAAAAATTATATTTCCTCTCTATATTTTTTGTTTTTTTCATTATTTATAGTATTTCTAATTTTTTTTCCTAATTTTATTTATATAATTTGTTTAAATTATTATCATTTTTTTCTTCTATCTATTTGGGAGTATTATAAATTCTTTTTTACTAATTGGTTAGTTGGTTGACAATTATTTTGTTCGTTTTTCAATCTTAGTT